GCCACGACGGGCGCGAACGAGCGTGTGCCACGAAGGGCATACGTATATTGGGCCGCAGAGGGCCAGGACGGGGCCACTGAAGGCAACAACGGGGCCGCGTGGGCAGCGAGGGGGGCACAAAGGGCGACAGCGGGGCCACGAAGCGCATGCATATGGGGCCACGACGGGCGCGAACAAGCGCGGGCCACGAAAGAGATACATATATGGGGCCACGAAAAACAGCGAGGGGGCCACGAAGGGCTGCAACGGGGCCACGAAAGGCAGCGAGGGGACCACGAAGGGCTGCAACGTGACCACGAAGGGCAGCGAGGTGGCCACGAAGGGCTGCAACGGGGCCACGAAAGGCAGCGAGGGGGCCACGAAGGGCTGCAACGTGACCACGAAGGGCTGCAACGGGGCCACGAAGGGCTGCAACGTGACCGCGAAGGGCAGCGAGGGGGCCACGAAGGGTTGCAACGGGGCCACGAAGGGCAGCGATGGGGCCACGAAGGGCTGCAACGGGGCCACGAAGGGCAGCGAGGGGGCAACGAAGGGCTGCAGCGGGGCCACGAAGGGCAGCGATGGGGCCACGAAGGGCAGCGAGGGGGAAGGGCTGCAACGGGGCCACGAAGGGCAGCGAGATCACGATTTCTTAACAAGCTGTGAAGGGGGTCCTGCGCATGAGCGACTCCTGGGTGCCGAGGTGTCGGGAACGCGGCCCTGGAGTAAATTGCGGGAAATTCCAACGCACGAGGGCGATTGTTTAGAAGTTGCTAGCAAGTCTTCAGCGACAGCGCGACTCCAAAGCGCTGAGAGAGCGATCCCTCAATAAAGCGTGAGGACGTCCAAAGCGACAGCGCGATTCCTGCGTAAAATGCTAAGAATCTCTGGCGGGAGCGGAGGTCCTAGCTAAATTGTGAGGAAGTTGCAGGCGGGAGCCGTTGCTGTTGTAATCCGGGGCTCAACAAACCAGGCTGAGCCCCGTGACTTTCACTGCTAAAAAATACTGCGAGCCCTGGCCGGAGCGCTTCAACTGGAAAACAATGGTCACCAGAGAGGAAGATCAGCAATAAGTACTCTTCAGTAGTGAGAGTCTAACATCAACAACAACGACGACAACAGGAACAAAAACAACAACAGCAACAATAACAGCAGCAGCAACAACAACATCACCAACAATCGGTTTAAGACTGTTCGCTCCTATCTGCTCGCGTGCAATCCAACACGTATATCCCAGACCCTCGGTACCCGCCCTCGTCGTCTTCGGTCGTAACCCCTTGGGTGTGTTTCTTCCCTACCTACCACGTGCATGTAGTGCAGCCCTTAAAGCAAGGGAAGAGAGGACGGGTGGAAGAGAGAGGGAGAAGGATGGAGCACGAGAGAAATTAGCAGGACGGGGGGCAAGGACCAGAAAGCAAGTGGTAAAACCAGACGGGCAGATCGGGTCGGCAGACCCATAGCGGGTGAGTCGGGAAGGCGGGCCCAGGCGACCAGGTCGAGCAGGCGGGTTGCTGAAGCGTGGGCCCTGCGTGAATCGCGAGGAAGTTCGAGCGATAGCGCGATTCACAACAAAAAAAAAAAAATAACGTGAGAAAGGCCAGAGCGACAGCGTGATTCCTGAGCGCCGAGGGCGCATCGTCTGAATAAATGGCGAGGAGGTCCCACGCGAGAGCGCGATTCCTACATAATTTGTAAGGAATTCCCGCGCGAGCGTGCGATTCTTCAATAAGCTGTGAGGAACTATCAGGCTGTAGCCGTTGTTGTTGTAAACCAGAGGCCAACAACCAAATTCTGAGACTCAAGACTTTCCCTGATAAAAAAAACAGCGTGCGCGCCCCTGAAGGGCACTTCAATTGAAAAAAAACATGTGCCCCAAAGGGGGGATCAACACTACTTATTCTTTATACATGAAAATTCAACAACAACAACAACAACAACAACAACAACAACAACAACAACAACAACAACAGCAGCAGCAGCAGCAGCAGCAACAACAACAACACCAACGCCAGCAACAACAACAACAACAACAACAACAACAAGCCCTCCGCCTCAAGAAGCCCCCAGAAGGCCCCAAGAGGCCCCTGAGAGGGCCCCAAGACGCCTCCAAAGAGCTTCAAGAGGCCCCCAAAAGGCCTCATGCAGGCCCCACAAGGCCCAAAAGAGGCCCCTTGAGGCCCCAAAGCGGCCCCCAAGACGCTTCAAAACTGCGTCCGAAAGGCCCCCCGAACGCCTACGACGAGATCCACACGGACAACCACAAGCTCTGTGACATCCAACCCAAGCACGCTTGCGGGATTGGCCGAAGGACACTGTATACATTTCTAGATGAAGCGTCAGAGAAGGATCGACAACGACGATGAAGAGAACGACGACGACGACGACGACGACGACGACGACGACGACGACGACGCCCAGACCCCTGGTGCACATCGACCCCCGACCAGCTCCGAAAATGCCACATGGACGGACGGCCCATGATGGCGCACACGGCTTGAAGGGCTCCCCAAAACGTCCCTGCGGATGCGCCTGCTAGTGATGCACGCTTTCCCTCTCCCGTCGCTGCCAGCTCCCGTCCTCCTCCTCCTCCTCCTTTTCCTTCTCCTGCTCCTCCTCCTCCTCCTCCTCCTTCTCCTCCTCCTCCTCCTCCTCCTCCTCCTCCTCCTTCTCGCTTGCCACGATCAAACAAACATGTAGCACCAGTGATGCAATGTGGGCCCGCGGAATGAGCGAAACGATCCAATAATTCTGGGCAAACCGAAACTCAACAACAACACAATCAACAACAATAACAACAACAACAACAACAACAACAACAACAACAACAACAGCAGCAGCAGCAACAACAACAACAAAAACAAGAACAACAACAAACAACAATCATTTTAAGACTGCTCGCTCTGACCTGCTTGCATGCCATGCAACATGTATATCCCAGATCCTCGGTACCCGTCCTCTTCGTCTTCGATCGTATCCCCCTTGGGGGCAGACCTTCCCTACCTGCCGCGTGTAGTTGACGCAGCCCTGTCAAACAGGGGAAGTGAGGACGGATGGAAGGGGGAGGGAGAAGGATGGAGGACGAGAGAGAGTAGCAGGAGGGGGGCTACGAAGGGCAAACTGGGCAGACTGGGCGGGTAGATCCTGATGGGTGGGTCGGGAAGGCGGACCCAGGCGGCCAGGTCGAGCAGGCGGGTTGCCGAAGCGTGAGCATGAATCGCGAGGAAGTCTCGAATGATAACGCGATCTCGAAGTGAATCGTGAGAAAGGCCAGAGCCACAGTGTATTCCTAAGGGTTGGAGGCGCGACACCTGAATAAATTGTGAGGAGGTCCCACGCCATAGTGCGATTCTTGTATAAATTCTGACAAAGTCCCGCGCGAGAGCGTGTATTTTCTTCTCCTTCTTCTTTATACATATATATATATATATATATATAACACAACAAAAAAGAGACGGCCGAGAGGAAGAAGGGAAGCTCAGACGTCGAAGAGTTCGACGATGAGCAGCCGGGGGGGGCAGCAGCAGCCAGGCGCAGGGCCAGAGCGCGGTGGGCGGCCGTGGCAAACCACGGTGGCAAGACAAAAAAAAATGTGAGGAGGTATCAGGCGGGGGCCGTTGTTGTTGTAACTCGGGGGCCAGGGGCCCAGTTTGGTGACACCTCGATTTCCCTTGTTAAAAAAGGGTGCGAGCCCCGGGAGAAGCACTTCAGTTGAAAAAACAAAGGCTACCGCGCAGGGGAGACCAACAGTAATTATTCTGTAGAGATGAGAACTCAACAGCAGCAGCAGCAACAATATTATTACTGCTATTATTATTGTCAGCATCATCATCATCATCATCATCATCATCATCATCATCATCAGCATCATCATCATCATCATCATCATCATCATCATCATCATCATCATCATCATCATCATCACCGGATGATCATCATCATCCTCATCATCCTCATCATCATCATCAGCAGCAGCATCATCATCATCAAGAGCCTGAGGCCCTCCGCGAGCTCCTCGGCGCCCGAATGCGGGGAGCGCTTCTGGCCGCGTGGCGGGTCGGCCGCCACGGAGGCCCCGGCCGCCGCCGCCGCGGGCGCCGCCAAGCTCCGCCGCAGGGACTCCGCCATGAACTCCTGGACCGGCCCGAACTCGCCCGGGTCCAAGTCGCCCTGGTCCTTCCCGCGAGCGGCGGGCACGCCCGCGTCCATTGGATGATCCTCAGAGCTCGCGTGGGCGCTAACGAGTTTTTGTCACCGAAGCCATTCGATACGACGCAGGCGGCATTGACAAGGGCCGACACAAGTGCGTGGATTGGCCTAACCCGCGTCCTGAGGGTCATCGATACATGCTGGCTGGCAAGGCTTCGGGCTCGGCACAGGCAGCCCTGTGGAGGCAGCCCAGGCTGGCCTCAACAGGCCCTGAGGCCCAGTGGTCTGGAAACACTCCCGAGCCGCCTCCAGCGGCGCCACCAGTATGCTCCAGGCAACGGGGGGGGGTGTTGAGACCGCCCCCGCGCGCTGGGGGCCTGCCGGGGCCAGCCTGGGCTGCCTCCGGGGGCTGCCTGTGCGCGGCTCCTAATCTTTCTGATACATGCCCTTGCGGTCTGGACACTGAGGCGCGATCCAATGGATGCGTCCCGCGCGACACGTCCGCGCAAGGCCGCCCCGTATTCGTGGGGTCACGGCCGAGCAGTCTGGACGGCGAGGCCATGGACATGGGGGCGTTTCCCGCCAGCGACCTTCGGGCGAAGAAACCCCAGCTTCCACCATGGATGCCTCACTGGCACGTCCCAGCGCTCCCAATTGGCGTCTATCGTGGCCAGCGCCTCCTCCTCCGTCATGCTGAAGTTCGTCGTGTACCAGTCGGCCAGCTCCCCCTTTGTGACCCTACCGCTCGCGGAGAGGTTGACGCAACGGAACAAGTCCGAGGTGGGCGCCTCCCCCGGGCTGGGGCAGTCCTGGACCTGCACGAACCGCTTCTGGCACCTAGAGTTGGGGCACTGCTTCGTGGCCCATCCGCACATGGCGGCGCGGCAGGGGCCGCAGAAGAGGTTCGGGCGTTCCTAAAGGTGTCCCTGGCCCAAGGTGTCCCCAGGATTCCTGGGGAGGCCCAGATAGCCTCCAGAGCACCCCTCACAAGGCCCCGAGGGCACCAGGGGCTTCAAAATGGCGCGAAAAGCTGGGGACACCTGGGACTAGGACCACCTCTAGCGACACCCGAGAGGTGCTTACACGAGCGCCTGCCCCCAGCGTGGTCGGACCAGAGCGCGAAGCGGTGCTCGTCGAGGGGCTTCCGGCACGACTCGCACGCGCCCGGCTCCAGACGCGCGGGCTGATCGGGCTGCGCTGCAGCTGCCATCGCTGGCGAGCTGCGCTCTGGGGCCCCGTCTCGGCGCGCTCTGGAGATCGCCTGAGAAGGAAGACAATGCTGCGGACGAGAAGCCGCTCCAGAGACCTCCTGGGGAAGGCGAGGGGGTGGGATCGGACACGCAGTGCTGCAGGAAAATAACATCCGAAACATCAGCTCTCGGAGCCCTTGCGGCTACCAGTGGAGAGGGAGTGCCTGGGGCGGCGTGGAAGCAGGAGGAGTCCGCCAGTCCCCAGAACTGCCTGGCGCTTTCTGGACCACGGGGGCCGGTGGAGGAAACAGAGGGAGGGAGGGATTTGATCAGCCTCTGCGCAGCGCGTTCCCTCCACGATCACCGCAGGGCGTTGACCTCCTTTGCCAGCTTCGTGTGGCCTGGAGCTCGTCCTTCCTCGAGAGCCTTCAAACACTCGGCCCCGTACGCGTGGGACGCTCGCATTTTTTGGCAAGCTTGCCAGTCGAACGGAAGTGGTCTGTGCCAAGACCTTCACACCTCGAGCAGGCGAAAACCAGTTCCTTCCGAGTGCCCACCCCCCACCTCCCACCACCGCATCGTGTGAGAAGGGTGTGCCGAGACACCCTGCCTTCGGGGCCCCACTTCTCGCAGAGGGACGGGGCGGAGTGGAAGCAGGAGGAGGCGAAGATGAAGAGGGGTGAGGGCGAGGATGATGGGGATGGCGAAGAAGAGGGTCATGGGAGGAATGGAATTTCTCAGGCAGAACCATAATTCCCCCAGGCGGGAGGGAAAGGCGACATCAGCGCACTTGGTTCAAAAACAGCATTACACGATTGCCGTCCTGGAAGGTCCCGCGATGTGTTTGACTGAGGCATCTGCAGATTATTCCTTGAATCACGTGGTGGAAGCTGCAGTCTGCTCGTGTCGCTTTCGCTGGGCGTTGTCATCGTCATCTATAGCTTCGTCGACTATGACATGAAGTTCGAAGGGTGGCTAGGTGAAAACAAGACCATCCATTCGGGAATGCTCTGAATCGCTCACTACCTCCTCCTCCTCCTCCTCCTCATCATCATCATCCTCCTCCTCCTCCTCCACCTCCTCCTCATCCTCCTCCTCATCCTCTTCCTCCTCCTCCTCCTCCTCCTCCTCTTCCTCCTCCTCCTCCTCCTCTTCCTCCTCCTCCTCTTCCTTCTTCTCCTCCTCCTCCTCCTCCTCCTCCTCTTCCTCCTCCTCCTCCTCCTTCTCCTCCGCCCCCTCCTCCTCCTCCGCCTCCTCCTCCTCCTAGTACTCCTCGATGAGGAGCAGAAGGAAACGAGGGAAGCAAAGCAAGATCGCCGCCCCATGCCTGCGATGGTCTTCGGCTTCCCGGTGGTGCCTGTCGGCTGCGCGCCCCCCCCACCCGCAACTCCGTCGCGGCAGTCCCCCGCCTCCTCGCCCGTTATTGACCTCTTCGAGGCTCCAGAATCGAGGTCTTTGGATGCCTTTGGCACCTTGCATGGCCCCCTGAAGGTATCCAGAGACCTCCAGGGACCTCTGGAGGCATCTGGGGACCTCCCGAGAAGTCCTCTTCCTCCTCAACATCCTCCTCCATCCCTTTCCCTTATAAACAACTCACATAACTCCTCCCTGTCGCATCCCCAGACGTGTCGGTTAGGCGGGCCAGGCGATTCGCCTGACACTCCCTCACCATGTCTGATCCTGAAGCTTGAAAATTGCTACCAAATTCACGGATAGGCGGCGGGCCGTTCGCAAAATGTGGCTCTCGCCTTAGCGCTGTGCGCATTGAATCTAAAGATTTGCAACAGTTTCACGGATGGAGGGCCAACCGTCTTCAAAAGGTGGCTCTCGCCTTAGCGCCGCGTATATTCGTTTTAAAAGTTCGCAACAGTTTCACGGATGGAGAGCGAGTCGTTGTCAGAATGTTGCTCTCGCCTTAGCGCCGCGCACATTCGTCTCAAAATCTTGCAACCGTTTCACGGATGAAGGGCGGTTGTTTCAAAATGTGGTTCTCGCCCTAGCGCCGCACTCATTCGCGCTGAAAGTGCACAACAGTCTCAAAGATTCGCATCGTCAAAGTCCCAGAAATTGTGTTCTGGCAATAAGATTGTCAGAGCGCCACAATCAGATTGATTCGCGGTGTTGAAGCCCCACAAATTGTGTTCTGGGACGGTTTGGGATTGTCAGGACGCAATCGCTGATGCGT